CGGCAGAGCGACTTTAGTCCATATCGACACAGGTTTCAATCATCATGGGCGATTACTCAATAGCCCGTAGAGTGGTCCATAAAGCTGTGATTTTATAAAGCGAGTTTCAAGCATACCTTTCAAACGTCTCCTATCGGGCGAATGGCCACGGCAGATGTTCTGCGATGCTGGCACAATGCACACCCATTCCTAGATGACTTAGTTCATTGATCATGCACTACAAGATTTACGTATGCGCACGGGCGACTGTGAGGTCATATATAAAGACTGACGGGCGTAAAAGCGTCGCACCCGCGTACTCTGCCCGCACCTCACGACCATGTCTTGCGACCCCATGTCATTGGGTCTGTTCATTGCACTGGGACTATGGGGCTTCTGGAGATATCTGTCCCGACAAAAGATAGATCATGCCCTGAATAAGATACCGGGTCCTCCACCTCAATCCTTTCTATTTGGTGCGATCGTCTTTAATGTGTCGGTGAACCTAAGAGTTACTGACTTTGGTTAATCAGGGAACCTTCTGCAGTTTTTCCATCCACGTGGATCTGGATTTCACAGGCGTGTTGCACTGGATTATGGTCTTGTATCGAAGATGTATGGCATGTTCAAAGTTAGTGACATGGGCAGCAATTTAGCACCGATAAGCAATGACGATTTGCCCTAGCGCCCTATTTTATACGTGTCAGATCCTAGAGCGCTGCATACCATCGTTGCGAAAGAGGAACATATTTTTGAGAAGGCAGACTGGTTCTTGACGTAAGTGAGCGTCCGCGTGATGAGGTTTCTGTCATTACAGCTCAAGTATAGTCTGAATACTTTACTGTTCGGGCCTGGCTTGCTGTCCGTGTCAGGTACTGCGCTACTATTTGACGGCGATGCAGCAAGTTAGCTGACCATACACAGGCAACCAACATCGCAAGCAGCGGAGGATGCTCAACCCGGTGTTTTCGGTAAATCATCTCCGCAGAATGATGCCTATATTCTATCAGGTTGGACACGAGGTATACAATTAAAACCCCATCTCCGCGAATGTTACTTACTATGCCCTTCAGCTTCGAGATGCGCTTGCAGGGCGCGTATATCAGGACCCAACAGAGCTGGACGTTCTAGATTGGTGCGGTCGGGCAGCCGTCGAGATTATCGGTAGGGCCGGCCTTGGACATTCCTTCAGATCCCTCACAGACGACACGGACAGCGCGTACGAACACGCGATGAAGTCATTGATGTCAGCCAAGATTCTACCTTACTCCGCGATTGATAAATCGTGCTGACATACTACAAAGACCCAACATACAAAAACTTTACGTCTGGCGTCGATTGCTACCATTTCTGGTCAAAACGCTTCCAAGTTGGCTCCGCGCGCGGCTCGTCAATCTTGTCCCCTCTAGGAGCGCGGCAAACCTGAAATCCATTGCGATTTTAATGGCGGATAAGTCTCTGGAAATATATAACCAGAAAAAACGCGCCCTCGATAAAGGAGACCAGGCAGTGGTACATCAGATGGAGGAGAATGACGTTATGAGTGTCTTAAGTGCGTCTCGAACTTCTCACCCAGTTTCCGAGCTATATTTAACGTGTTACAGTGAAAGCTAATGCAGCGGCGCCAGATAAAGAGAGGCTAACTGATGAGGAGTTGCTCGGCCAGATGTCGTGAGTCGTGAGCTCTCATTTTGTTGGTTTCTGAGCTCACACCACGTACACTACGAAGGACGCTCATCTTCGCTGCCATGGACACAACATCCAACATAATGGCCCATATTCTACAACTACTCGCTGAACGCCCCGATATTCAGGCAAACCTTCGTGACGAGATTGTCAGTGCACAGGCTGGGGACTCAATACCTTACGATGAGTTAAATACGTTGCCATTGTTGGATGGTGTATGTAAGGAGACTCTGCGACTGTGAGTTTTCCTCTCAACTGGGTTCGTGCGTCTTATTTGATTCTGTCAATAGATATCCTCCAGTCGCTATGGTGACTCGTGTGTACGTGCAATCTCACCATACATCGGATGTCGCAGATGCATTAATTCGCGCTCTCAGGGCTCGTGAAGATACCGTGCTGCCGTTGTCAGCACCAATAATCGGCACGAATGGGAGCGAGATGTATGAGATTCCGATACCAAAGGGCACGGATGTCATAATCGGCTGTTTGGGTTCCAATATACAACACGATTTCTGGGGGCAGGATTCCCTTGAATGGAAACCTGAACGTTGGCTTTCCCCATTACCTGAAACTGTCACGGATGCCTCCATCCCAGGCGTGTACTCCAACTTGTAAGTCTCAGAGTCTGTACATGGTGGAATTCTAAGCCAACTTATGAAATGCATATGCAGGATGACCTTCATTGGAGGGAAGCGAGGGTGCATGTGCGTGTCCTGTGAAATGGTGTTTTTTCTTGCCTGACATAGCTTCATAGTGGATTCAAATTTGCTGAATTAGAAATCAGTGCGTGCCAAATCGTCAGGAGGGCGTAAGACTCACTGTCCCAATTAATTCAACAGAGATGGTCCTCGCTATCTTGCTGACAACTTTTACCTTCGAGCCTACCCACCAGCCCATTGAATGGAACGTAGCTAGCATATGGTTCCCAACCGTCGGAAATGAGAGAAGCAGTCCGCGGTTACCATTGAAAGTAGGATTGGTCGAACGGTCTGAATCTCAGATATTGGGCAGAAGGCGCACTTTGAATCTGTAGGTGTTATGTTTTCGTGCATGTGCAAGTACTGGGACAGTTCGTTCATGTGTGAATCACTTTAATATCAGGACTGGTTGGTTGTAGTTTTATAGACTGTAGGATAATCATTTGGCTGCCATGGTAATCGATTTGCTCTGTTCAAGTTGGTGCTTTTTAGGCGATCAGTGTATAGTCCCACGCAGCAAGCTTAAGCGCCGTACTCTCGAGAGTCAAGAATTGCTCAATTTGACTTCGCAAGTGACTGTTCTAGACATCACTCTTTCTTTGCACATGTTCTTGCTCCCGAATGTCGAATATTCCTCCCGGTTTCCAATTTACGCCAGCGGGTTTGAAGCCGAATCTCCACCTTGCCGTTACGTCGTTTCCGCCCTAGCCTCTAAGTCGTCATAGCTGCGTGGAGTGGCCAGGCGCCCCCCCCCTCCCCTGAAAGTGCATTTAATGTGAGTGAGTTAACCAGGAATCCTTCCCTCCATCTCATCCACCATCATGGTTTCAGACAGAGTCTATAGCCTCACCCACTCCGACAAGACCCTCACTGCCGCATTCGCGACATCGCCCGACGCTTCACCAGGAGAACTGGGTAAGACCCTGTACGCAGAGCACCACCATGGCATACACAAACCTGGTGCCACGGGTGGTCTACTTTCCACGCTCGCGAGCATGTTGAAGACGGGCAGAACACCCGAGGAAGCTAGGGAGGCCACCAAAGAAGACGAGCCGTCTCAGGAAGATTTGGACAGAGCGGCAGAGTGCGGTCAGTTTGGGGCAAGGCCGAGTGACTTGTTTTTGAAGGTGAGTGTCCTTTTAGATACTCTGTAAAGACGCGTATATCCTTTCAGCCTCGCTTATCGTTCGTTGTTAGATTTATCATGATGTCTTGAAAACGCTCGATGTGGACCCATGGGTTGGCTCTGTTTCTCCACCGCTTCTTGGGTCTCGCGGTGTAGTGACACTGTCCATCATATCTGTGTGAGTGTCTTCCCTGATGCGTTGTATCAGAGTCTCTTGTTGACATTTTGTACAGCATACCTGATATCATTCAGCATCATTATGATTGTATTGTCCAGGCAGAATTTGAAGTATTCCTTGCGACAAACTTTTGGCAAGCATCGAAGTCAGCCACTAAGATATGTGACGCCTTCCTTGAGCTCTCGCGACGGTCCCAAGCTCGCGGGAAGAAAGCTGTTGTCAAGCTCATGTATGATCGCGCGAATCTCAAGATGCTTACAGAGAGTCATCTGTATGTCAAGGAGGATGAGTGGACGGGCGAGGAAGTAAAGTTGCCTAAGGCGAGCGAGATGCCTGGGATAGACTTCGAGCTCATAAACTTCCATCAGTGGGTTCAGCTTCTTTCGTGAATGTGCCTTCTCATTGACAGTACTGCCAATAGGCCGATGTTGGGGACATTCCACAGCAAGTTCATGATCGTTGATCGCAAATTGGCTCTTTTATGTTCCAATAACATTCAAGATCGACCCCACGTGGAGATGATGGCACATATAGAGGGTCCAATCGTGGATAGTATGTACGACACTGCGCTCGTCAGCTGGTACAAGGTCATGCACCCCCCACTGCCGCTTCTTAGCCAACCATTCCAGGCTCCTGCAGATGGCTACAAATTTGAGATGGAGAGCCCGTACGCATCGACGCATTTATTAGACGGGAGAAGGGGCGAAGAGATTTTCAAGAGGATGCAGCGGGAGGGGAAGGTGGCGACGGATCCGGATTCTAGCGAACTATCGGAGATTGAGCCCACAGACAAGAGCAAGAGCCAACCGTTCATCTCTGGGAGGTACCAGTCGATCGCGGATCACTTGAGTAAGTATTTGTGAGTCGCGTCGCTTATCACGCTGACAAAGTTTCCTTAGATGCAGGCGATCAGGCCACTCTGGCGACGGCCTCGTATGATCCCACTGCCGACGAAGAGTACCAGCCGCACGTCCTGCATGCGCCACACCCCGAGGTACCAATGGCACTTCTCAACCGTGCGCCTTACGGTCGACCGGGCAACGACGAGCGCGCGCTGCTTAACCCCCAAGATTCGGGGTGGCTCGCAGCACTTAAGCACGCCCAACGGAAGGTATTCATTCAGACGCCGACGTTCAGTGCGCCGCCTGTCGTAGATGGTGTGCTGAGCGCCGTGCGACGGGGCATCGAATGCATCTTATACGTGGATGTGGGTTTCAATGACGGCGGTGAGGCATTGCCAATGCAAGGGGGTACCAACGAGGAGGTCGCTCGGAATATTTATAAACAGCTAGCAGAGGAAGAGAAGGATAGGCTGAAGTTCCATTGGTATACGGGTGTGTCTAATGTGTTTTCAAGATTATATGCGCAGGTGCTGATAGTTCGCCTGCAGGCAGAGACCAGGCAAAGCCGATCAATGCGCATTTGCAGCAGCGAAACTGCCATGTAAGTACGAACAATTTCTCTTGTCATCTCTTTGTTAACGAGGCATGTACCAGGTAAAGCTTATGGTCATCGACGACTCCGTCGGCATTATGGGTAATGGGAATATGGGTACGCTACCACGCGTTTTTTATGTGGATGTCTTTCAAATGATACTTGTTCTCATCTCATAGATACACAATCTTGGTTTCACAGCCAAGAGGTGAACGTGATGGTCGACAGCCCGCAAGTTTGCCACGAGTGGATGACGGCAGTGCACAGTGTCCAGAATACGCATCTGCACCGCGTCGGACACGATGGCGTGTGGCGCGATGCACAGGGCGTGGAATTATCAGACTCGACTGGAGTAACGAGCGGTGTAATGGGCGTCATCAAGGGTGTCCAGGGCAGCATTGCGCGAGTAAGGGGAAAGGGTGGCTTCTGAGTTTGGTTACGTTTCACGGTCAATCGGTCATTTTTATTTTCTTAATGCTGATACTGTTGATGTATTGTATAATGCTGTAGCATGCACGAAGATCCTACCCTATGGACGTATAGATCTTTTTTGGCCAATCATTGAGGTGCGAGCCTACGGTGCAGACCGGCATACCAGTGAAGCGATGCATTGCCAACCAACGCCAGTCAATACTTCGGCCAACCTAAATCAAACTGAATATGCTGGCCACTAGATCATCTAATGGATGTTATAAGTGCACTCAATGTCCGAGTGCTCCCATGGTTATCCATTCAGATGCCGTTACACTGCGATAACATTGCCCACAGTCAAATCTGTAGATAAAATCTTATTTATTTGGTCCGCTCTGTGGGAATAATTCTGCTTTTGAGATTACTCAGTCACTTATGAGGTTGATCAGGGCATCTCAATGTCAATGACCATGTTTTCGTAAAAATTTCGACATGATTGGCGTAGTAAAAAATGTCGCTCACTCGGCCGTTATCGATGGAGATGTTGCCCATTCGTCTGACACAACGTTCAAAGAAGCTAGCAATTTTCTTGTTCTCACCCGAAGCAGAGTTTTTCCAAACAGAGTAGCACCTCATTCACGAGGACTGCAGATACAAGGTTTTCAACTAGCTATATTCGGGGGTCCCTCTAGTATCACGCGCTCACAAATTGTAATTACAGAACGCAATCCCGGCGATAGAAGGGCGGGCCAAGCTCTTATATACGATAGAGAGGATTGCTGCTCTGGGTCTGGCTCGCTCTCTCTCTGGTTGCCACCACTTTTCCTCTCACATACTTTTCTATCAAATGTCATATCGCGGGAATAGACGCGGTTATGTTCCGCGACGTGGAGGACATCACAGCGCTAGTGCACAACCTATTCCACCTGATCGCGAGCTTGCCGAGGGACTCCTTTCCCCGTCCATCAAGGTGTTCGAGAAACCGGAGGACCTGAAGGGAAAAGATATCGTAATCCAAGATCTCAAGTATCTCGGTTCGTACAATTGGGTCGATGTAACCACGAAGGCCACGATGATTGTGCCCGGTCAGTCAAAATTCTGTACATTTATGCTGCATATTTACGCCTGGACTTGTACAGGTTCGCCGCCTTTTTGGCGCAACAGACCCCTGCCGTACTCTGTCCCACGAGACAGCGGAATTCGCATTGTTGATCAGGCTAGCAACTGGTTTCCGTCTTGTCCACTATTTCCATTACTACGTGCAGTGGACATAGTGGCAGAGGATAACGGCGATACGGTGGATTGGTCGTCTGTGGACTTTATCACGGACCGGAACAACCTGCGCAAGCTGTTGCGATGGATTCTCGATACTGATGGAACGGCGAGGGAATTCCGCATTGATACCCAGCTCGTCGGGAAACGCACAGTACTGTTCAACATATGGCACAAGAACACGAAAGAGCGGACAGACCCTACGATCTGGACGTACGGTTACAACTTTGAACATGAGAGCACTGTCCGCGCAGCGGGGTGCGAGATAGGAATCGAACATGATAGAATCGTGAGATACGTATGTCCGGTCCCAACTCTTTCTGAGTACGAAACTCACTTCTGAGTAGAATTTCGATGGTTTGACACTAGTCGTGCGATTTGAGGTCGACGCATGTCTTGTGCCTACTTCTGAGCTTCCACAGTCTTCGACTTCGTCTGTGTCTGCAGAAACACTCTCATTAATGATGTCTTCTCTGAACGTCTCTGGGAGCGCCAATCGTACGGTATCAATCGACAGTAATGCCTCTACTTCAGACCTCGATATTATTCGTGCCGGCTCGCAAGTACCACAAGATAGCCTGGTGGAGATGACAACACGTTCCAAAAATTATCTCTCTCAATTCAACTGGACGGACGCTTACCCTCAACTATCCTTATCTGCTACTCCCCATCATTTCCTCGCGGTGCACAATCGCGGACTGTTCCAATCAATTCGCAAGCGGAAATTGGGCGACGACGAAATGATGAACATCGATGCGCGAGCTCAGCCGGGCTTTAGGAGATTGAGAGATCTACTCGGCACCATCCAAGAACTCGTGATTGAGCACGGGAGGCTTGGCAGACTCAGCCTAGTTCACAAGGGTGGCATCCTTCAGGTATTCGAGAGGGCAGATAGAGGGAGCTGCCTCCCCGAGCCCATGATGGGGCGCTTTGAAGCCTGAGTATCGGAGGCGCGTTTCGAAGTTCTCCACCTTGCTGTCGAAAAGTCATTCATATCTCATCTATCTCCTATTTGGCAGGTTTGAATACGTGAGTTGTCTTCTTGTAGAATAGTAGTCATCGGATTTGTAGCAACATTCTAGGAGCGAGGCTGTGTACTGTATGTGTTCGTAGGCTTGAGTGTCCTTGCAGTGTGTCGTCTTCTGGGGCTCTGTCACGAGACAGAAGACGCATACTGGCAAGGAGCAAGCATTCGAACTACTGTATACATACTTTCCTACCGGGGTGTGAGTCATTGGAGAATCTCTAAAGCGCAGTGCTTCAAGCTTCATCGATTTACCCCGGCCAAGTCGCTTGCGTGTCTTCAAAACCTTATATCCCTTAGGACCTCATGGTGGCCCATTGCAGCCGTATGTGCACCCGAAAGCTTCTATGGCGCCATCTGGCTACGCGCGTGAGCAGGCGTGAGGCGAATAATTTCGGCCTCGTGGGTCACGGTTTCCTTCGATGGACCCTATTAACGTACGTAGTGGCAAGAGCGACAACTATATCATCTCCTTCGCGCAACTGACTTCTCTAGTTTGCACCAAGGTGTCTCAAGACAGCATATGGAAACCGTAGTGGCGAATTCTTAGCGTGTGCGAAGACCCAAATGCTGTGGCACAGGCATGGGCGGCACAACATTCCGGTATGAAGTAGCAACTGCTCCCTATCCTGTAATGCAGCCAACACCCCATTTCCGTTGCTTTGACTCATCTGACTGGTGGCAGCACCTATTTTTCAAGGTTTGTAGACCCACCAGTAGAAACTGGCGTCAATTGGTTCGCTTAAATACTGGCTCGGGCTGTTGCTCATCGGCATACACGCCAATCGCCTACACCATGTCATACCAACCATTGTACCGCAGGAACAATAGTGGGTGGCATGCAGCCTCATCTGCCAATGCCCCTGCCTTTTCCTCTCTCCCTCTTGAACGCCCTCTCACCGAAGGTCTTGCTTCGACGCCCTTCAAAACGTTTGCAAAGCCAACTGATCCGGGAGGCAAGGCCATTGCTCCGCAAAATCTCGAGTATATCGGCTCCTATAATTGGGTCAATGCTACCAAGCCGACCATCATTGTTCCAGGTCAGTTGAAATACAACTTGGATGAGTGTACACTGGACATTTCCATGATACAGGCTCTCCGCCTGAATGGCGCAATAGGCCTCTGCCCTACCGGGTGCCGCGAGATAGCGGTGTGAGGTTCGTGGACCAGAATGGATATCGAATGCCCTCGACGACGTTATATCCCTTGCTCCGCGCAGTGGATATAGCGTCGGCGAGCAAGACCATCGACTGGGGCTCCGTTGATTTCGTCACGGATCGCAACGGCTTAAGGAAGCTGCTGCGATGGATCAATGACACGGATGCATCCGCCAAGGAGTTCCGCATTGATACACAGCTCGCGGGGAACTTCACAGTTCTCCTCAACCGCTGGGAGAAGAAGACGAGAGAAGATCCGGATCCTACTCGCCCGAGTTACGGATTCAGCTTTGAACGGGAGAGTACGACAAAGGCTCCTGGCTGTGAGCAAGGAACAGGCCACCATCGCATCGTTAAATATGTGAGTGTCTTGGCCACATTGGTTGCAATGACGCGTCCTGACCGAAAGATGTAGGACTTTGGCGGATTGACCATAGTAGTGCGCTTCGAGGTCGATGCTTGCATTGCACCATCGCGCTCGTTGCGCCCCACTGCTCCATCCGCCAATGTTGACTCGCTCTCCGACTTAATATCGGGTCTGGATGTAGCAAGGATTTCCCAAACCTCAAAGATTGACACGAGCGCCTCTACCCCCGAGCTCGACATCATCCGTGCAGGCTCCCAGGTGCTTCATGACTGTGTCATCGAGTTGACCACTCGGTCTCGAAATTATATTCACCAGTACGACTGGGTGGATGCCTACCCTCAGCTCTACCTCTCTCAGACAAAGCATCACTTTCTTGCTGCACATGGACGCGGAGAGTTCACGGCTATCACAAAGCGAACACTGGGAAGTCCAGAGATGAACGCCATCGATGCGCAGTTGCAGGCCGGTTTCAGGAAGCTGCGACGTGCCCTTGAGGAGATCCAGGAACTGGTTATAGAGCATGGAAAGGAGGGTAGACTCAGCCTCGTTTTCAGCAGAGGTAAGCTACAGGTTTTCAAGAGGTCTGGCCAGGACAGCTGCCTCCCTGAGAAAATGTTGGCTCGCTTCGACGCTTGATTCTGCGTTCATGCTTATAGGAGCGTTCCGATGTCTTGTAAAAGTGTATTTGTACTAACTATGAGGCCTACGAAGGCTCGATACACGTTTTTGCTATTGATATTGAGTTCTGGTCTTATAAGAGCGCTCGATGCTGAACCTTACTGGACGTATATCTGAAATTGGGCACTTCCGCATGTCACAAGGACCACCCGTGTTGATGCAGAAGCTATGCCCAAACTTCTGTACTCATGAATGCAAATCAGAGTTCACGCTGGGGCTTGAGTGTTACCGTATATATCGCCATCCACTGTGCGAACCTTCAATACGTTTACCCCCTCTACAGCGTATAAGCGACGCCGCTTCCTATGCCTAGCAATCCATCTCGGGGTCGCGCGGGAGGTAATGCAGGACGAGGTACTCGAGGAGGTGCCTCTCATACTACAACCGCGAGTGGATCTCGCATCAAACGCACGATTACCGATGGCCTCTCCGATACACCTCTCCAGACGTTGGAAAAGCCTGCAGAAGCAGCTAGCGAGGACATAGTGATCAAGGACCTCCAGTACATCGGCTCGTACAATTGGACCACAGCCAAAAAACCAACGATCCTTGTGCCAGGTGAGTGTTTGGGAATGCACTTTGCACGCACGCCTTTACGCACTCGAAAGGTTAGTGAGTACTAACTCCATCCTTTTGGTAGGTTCCCCAGCATACTGGCGCGAGAAGCCTCTACCGTTTCAACTAGTCCCAGACCAGGGCGAAAGCTTCATCGATCAGAACCGCTATCGCATGCCCTCCACTCCACTCTATCCACTCTTCCGCGCGGTGGATATCGTGGAGACACATTTTGAAGATAGCACAAAGGTCGATTGGGATTCGGTCGACTTCGTGACGGATCGCAGCAACCTGCGCAAGCTTCTACGCTGGATAACCGGGGGAAGCACGCTGAAGGATTTCCGAATCGATGCCCAACTCGCAGGTCGTCGTACCATCCTATTCACTCGTTGGGAGTCGCGTTTGAGGGAGTATACAAAGACGTATGGGTTTAGCTTCGAGCATGAGCTGACAGAGAATGCACCTGGTTGTGAGAAGAGCGCGGCAGGCCATCATAGAATCATACAATACGTGAGGCGCTCTTATAAATATTAACTTGCACATGCAAACTCAACTTCGTCCGTATGCCTTGTGACAGGATTTCGCAGGCTTGAAGCTGGTGGTCCGCTTCGAAGTGGACGCCTGCATTGCCCCGTCGCCTTCAACTGATCTTGATGCATTAGCGGCCTCGATGGCAAGCCTAAGCGTCAAGAAAAACACCTTCTCCTCCCCGCAGCTGGACGTGATCATCGCCGGCGCACGGGTGCCGCAGGACTCAATTATCGAGTTAGCAACAACGAGCGGTGCTAATTACGGATGGAAAGACAAATACCCACAGCTGTACTTTTCCCAAACGCAGCACCACTTCCTCGGAAAACACTCCGAGGGGCTCTTCCGCAATATCCAGAAGCGTCAGCTGGGTGACGAGGTCATGAAGTATATGGAGGAAAGTGCCCAGGACCGACTCAAGCAGCTCAGGCATGCGCTGCAGATGATCCAAGACCTCATAGTGCGACAGGGCCAGGACACACGGCTGAGCTTGATCTGCAGTAATAAGGAGTTAAAGCTCTTTGAGAGAGCCGGGGAAGCGACCTGTTTGCCGGAGGATATTCTTGAACGCTTCACAGCCTGAAAGTGACCTGAGAATTGTATATGTAAGAGATAAGAAATATAGATACACAACTCGTTCAATACATCTGTCCAAGTTGGTATGATTTACTCACGTATTCAAGGTGGTCTTTGACGCTTAACATGGGAGCGCGGTCACTAAGCTGATTCGATAGGCACAAGTCGTTGCAAAAAAAAAGGTCAACGCAGACAGCACCGTGATGTTGACGACCGCACCAACTCGCAGAGAAACTCCATACGATATAAAATGGTGATATTCGCAAAGTACTTGATATGTGGGTTACACCGTTACACCATGTTACAACGGCTTTTCTGTCCAAGAATACGTATTCGGCTCGCTGGATTCAACAACCTTGTTCAACGTCATAAGAAGGTCAGCTTTAGCCGTAGGTGAAGCCCTAAAGCTAGCACCCTTCTTAGGCGTCGATCGAATCATGGACATTGTGTTTTTCGTCGAATGGCCTTCGTGTGCGATGTATTCCCTTGAGCCAGGTGGATGAGGATTGGCTTGGGTCAAAGCGTCATCGTCTGCAGAGCAATGTTCCACCTCCGTCCGCATGTGCACGCTTTTGATGCCCGCCGGGTTCTTCGCAACTGTCTCCGGAGCTCCTACAAGCTCAGCTTGAGCAAACCTGAAGTCCGTGATACTGGCTTGGGGATTCCTTTCGCCAGTTGACGACAGGCGACTCCAGTCAACTGGCATAGCCAAACCTCGATTGTTCTTGTTAAGCGAAGACGTCATGCCAGCGAAGCTGGCGACCATATCATCGTCCTGAGCACGGCCCACAAGGCGCAATCCAGGCCTTGTATTGGTTCCCTGGCCCTGCAATATACGCCCCGCTCGAGGGGGAGAAAGGAAGAGAGATTGTAATTGAGACGAACTCGCGTAGACCAAACCCCCGAACCGCTGAGGCCGCTGTTCGATGATATGTGCGTTGGGAGCATTGTACTCCTTGGCTGCGCGTCTTTCGAGGAATTCCTGGATATGGTTGGGGTTGTCCGACTGCTCCCACAGGGAAACTGGATGTGCTTCCTCTGGTTCCGCTTCGACTTCAGCCTCCACCACAGCCTCATTTATGTCTTCACCTCTCTCCCTCGCCCTCTGCTGCACCCGGAAGTATTTGCGGAATTCCGGCCTTGCCTCCCTTAGCTCCTCCATGTACCGTGCACGCTCTGTCTTGGACATGGCAAAGATGTTGGGCACGGCTTTGCTCTTCTTCTTCAACTCTTGCTCCAAACCGTCAATGTCCTGCACGTCTCTAGTACCTTGCGAAAACTCTGAGTCTATTTCCCACTGTAGACTAACCAGCGGGCCAAGCTTGGTCGCCCAGGGGCCGGTATAGACGCGAGGTGTGACTCCAACTTCGTCCCACATTTTGATCCACCTATCCTGAGGCTCCGCACTCTTCCACTCGGTCTGCTGTTGTCTTGAATCCACCGTTTTGACGGTTACAGTTGCCTTTCGTCGACGGAGCGGTAACGGACGCTTGAGGCCCCAATTCCCTCGATGAGCATGACCGCCATATGAAGCATAGACCTGACCAATATGGGGGTCGAAAGATGCAAATTTGGATTGACGAAGAAGAGCTGCGAACTGAGACGGCGGTGGTGTTGCCATGGCTTGGCCGACTGAAGCTGCATTCGCCACCAGTGAAAACGAGCGTCTTTGTTAAATCGGCGCCTCGGCATTTTCCGACGCGAGTACAGACAACTGACTTAAAACTAGCCAACGTGCGCGAGCAAGGGCTGAAGCAGTCTAAATACTAGCTGTGCAGCGTCCCTGATAGAAAATGGAGTTGGAGGATAGCAGCGAGAGACAAACCGACGTGTTCCCGTTCCCTTTTTCGCTGGCTCTGGTCACGGCGAGAGGGGCGAGATATTCCCGAAACGGAAGCCGGAGGCTTTGGATCCTAACAAAACCAAACAACCACTTTGTTACACACGCGTGGCAACACTGTGAGATCCGGACTCGGAGCAGTATCTAATCCTCTCGTGACCCAGCATATCGAAGCAAAGAGCATGATTAAGCTCGGGCTAACAACGTCCTTCCGTATTCGCCGTGCCCTCCGGTGACTTGTCTGACGCTCACGACCAACGCCACCACTCTCCCAGCGGCTCAGCCATCGGCTCAAAACACGTAAGGAGAGCGCCGGACAGAAGGAAGAGCGGAGGGACTGTGAGAGCAACGTGCGCCGCTGCCCTGCCACTCGTGGGTACCTCCCAACCGCACTCACGTCAGGGCGTTCGATGTCATCTGAATCGCGTGGACCAAATGACCGAGGCAGGGCTGGGCTTCCGCGTTGGATCACCGCGTCGCGGGGAGAGCGGGCAAGGACCAGGGAATTTCTGTCTGGAAAATGCAGCAGCCACAAATAACCGCACGCTGAGGCATAAGCATGTCTGTTGATCACTGCCCCGGGCCGGGACGTCAACAGGACGCCGAGGGGGTGTGAGTGTCCCATTCCATCCTCGAGGATGCGGGCGGCTAGAACGAGGAGCCACGAGCGCCACGCGCAGAGTCGCACAGGAAGGTGGCTGGAATCAACGAGAAAGAGGGTCGAAGGGGTTGACACCTTTCTCCCTCAGTGATCATAGATATATTATATATGGGCATCCGTTTGCCAAGACGCCGCGCAGCTGACACAGGGCAGGAGGGGAGGGCATGCGGATTGGCGACGGAAGGCGGAAGACACCAGACGGAAGACGGGAAGCAGATGCAAATGGCAAACGGACATGCAGTCGAATGGGAGTATGCCCGAAAAACGGCGCAGCCATGTTGACGGACACAGGGCAGGAACGGTGAGACACCAGGCACACGCCCAATACAGCACCGAATCGCGCGCAACAGTACATAGCCGCCCGATTTGTCTGGAAAACTGTACCCCTGCTTACACCAGCCAAAGGAATCGCAGACCTCAGCGCGGCAATTGACTGTACGCACAATGCGTATCCCAGGGCCATGGTCGCGCCAGGGAATTTCCCCGCTGTATCTCCGGAACCGTCCCCTCTCCGCGACATTGGCTTGCGGAATAAGCTGAACTAGACCAGGCTGCTCGAGACGAGGGCCAGTGGATACCAGGCAAGGCAGCGTGAGGCCAATACCTCTGCTCACAGTCACGAGGATTCTGACGCAGCCGGTTGTTTCTTCGGAAAGGCCTTCGTCTCAGACGAGGAACGGGAAAGTGGTTTCGAGAATCCTGGCTGTTGAAACTTAGAACATAGATAAGGCGAGAGCAAATCCACTCGATCAAGACCGTGAGTAGTATATCCGCTGTGTGAGAATCCGCAGGAGCAGGGGTAGTACTCGGAGGCGACGGCGCAAGAATAGATGGCCCTTCTGCGCGAGTTCATTACAACGTTCAATGTTCGATAACGGATAAACGCGCAGGAAGAGACAGGGTGATGTCACCCATGCTAGGAATCAAGGCGTGAAGGCTTGAGACAGCGACTAGTCCAGGTTTCGAAGGCAGCGGGAGAAGAGAAACAGCTGAAAACGGCTCCGAGTCTATCTGAGCGAGTCGCGGGGATGAATCTCAACGGGAGAAGGGAATAGCACAGGCGAGGGACCAATCTGCCCTAGAGGGATACACATGGCGTCAAAGGTATAGATAGCGAACGTTCGGCACAATAACGGACGAAAAATGACAAACAGCGCTCCCTAATTTGATCGGAAGACGGTGAATACGGTTGTGCCATGGTTCATTACTCGAAAAATCCAGCTGTACGCATGGAAAGGCGAATTCGTATTAGAAGCAGACGCTGGGTTCGCAGAACTATTGTCTTGAGGCTTGCAGAACGGATAAGACGATCAAGAGACGTGCTAGATCATATCTGCCGAGGGCGAGTTGCAGAGCGGAAGAACTAGCATAAGCGACTAGCGGTTGATAGATACGCCAACGCGGAGGATTGGTCTTGACATGATTAGATAGACCAGCAGAGTAGAAACCATTGAAACGGATTATGACTTCAACTAGAATGCAAAGGAGGTGCTTGTTGACGGCCCCTGGATGCAGATATTTCGGATTGATCTTTCAGAAATCGCTAATGTAGTTCACGTCGTACGGGTTCTGCGGCTCTCTCGGCTCTGGATCAATTTCGAATACAGCAACTCCATCATTTTAAGGAATTTTGTCGGAACTTACAAGGCTAGCTTTGATAGCGGCAGTTTATCGTATGATGGCGTCGGCGGCGCGCTTCGCTTGCTTCCCCAAGACGCTGCTTCCAGGGAGTCAATTATTTCCAGCTGGTTAACGTTATCGCTAATATTTCAGAACGAACATTCATCTTTCACTAGTCATTTACATATTCTCATTGGTATAGATTGCTTTCTCGACGTGTCTAACTGTCTTCAAAGGTGATGAGCGACACGAAAACAAATAGAATACGGCCATCGCAAACATCGCTAGCAGACCTTACCTTTACTAGAAGCCCCTGCTTGGGGCCCTCAAACCTTGATGTTACGCCAGCGCATCGAACTCTGCTAAAACTGAGGGGATGACGACAACTGTTTCCACAGTGATAGCTGAGTAGAGCATGTCTGCTGCTTCATTAGGTTCGGTAGTCTCTCGAATGCGCGTGCTAGACGAAGGACAGGGCAGAATTCTCGATCATCCCTGTCGATAACTGGATCAGAAATTCTAGCATTCGGATGGACTATACCAAACCTGATTTCGCCGCTTTCACGCAATCCACACCCTATGGAGCGCTTACACGGTTCTCAATCTTTGTCCGGACTACACTGACGTCTCAACGCTCGGGTAGAAGCCTAACCTCTGAGATGTAGGTTCGGCTCGGGGTGCGCGGCGACGCACCGTTTCTTCATTCTAGAAGCAGCAAAGAAGTAAAGCTTGACCATCAAGGCTTCTTCTGAATCTTCAACGCTCGGTAGCAAGTCATTTATCCCGACGATAACGGTGGCTGTATGATGGCCTTCATGAGTGTCAGTACCGCCGAAGATAGCGTAAACACTAGTCTGAGCCAATGTTTGAAATGACATCGAGGGATATGACGCTACATGGCGATTATGCAGGACACCAGCACTCACTTTCGCGTTACACCTAAGCGGCATGATCAACCAATTCGGCGATGTCACAGAAGCTTCGCCCCAAATCAAGCACTTGTGCATGCCAATCGTCGCTGGATGAGCAGACTATTTTAATCATGATCCGAATCCGAATGACTACCACAGGCCAGTTTCGGCTAGAGTACAGCTCAATTTGAAGTTGCTCGAGCGAGCTTGATAATACCACGTGACCATGCGCGTCGGAGTAGAAGTCACATGATGCCCATCAATCTAATCAGATGAAAAAAGAAATGGGACAGAGCTCTCCGAAGGAGATGCGGGAGCTGTTTCAGCAAAAACGACCCAACGACAGGCGGTAGGGATGGGAACGGACGTAGAAAGAGGCCCCAGTATGCCCGGGCAGAGCTGGAGAAGATCAAGAGGGCGAATCTCCGCTTACTGATGAGTTTTCTCGTCAACAAACCGGCGGTAGATACGGATATTCCCCGGGACAAGTGGCCGAAGACCGCAGGTTGTTGCAAGAGACTTGTCGACGGACGCGATGGGGAGGAGGATAAGCATGCGGTGGTCGTCAAAGGCGCATGGGCAGACGCCTGGCGGGGCGGTCCGCAAGTGAGAAGCAGAGAGCCGGGCAGGAGAAACGGCGGAGAAAAGGAATGCGGGCGGGGAATGCTCGGGGAGGCTGTGGCTATCAGTCGTTGCTGTCAGAGATACGGAGGGCAGCGAGTCGACGGAGGGCTGGGAGAGAGACGAAGGAGAGGAACTGGAAGCCGCTGTTGCTGAAATCTCGGCTTTATACTTCAAACTCCGCTGCAAGAACGGTGGCGTCTAAAGGCCCTCGCAAACTGACGCGGCCCCATCACCTGAGCGTATATACTCGACCTCCCTTCGCCCTCTCCTCTCTTCGTCTGCCTCCTCGCATCGCGCACTGCGTCCTCCTCGTCCTCCTCCCTCTCCTCATCATGCCAGACGGCTCCCACGAACAACCCCAGCAGCGCCAGTTCAACCCCTACACCGAGAACGGAGGCACCATCCTCGCCATTGCGGGTGCGGATTTTACCGTCATTGCGGGTGACACGCGCCAGAGCGAGGGTTACAGCATCCAGACTCGTTATGCTCCCAAGGTCTTCAGACTGTACGTTCTCTCAATGGCTCTCCAATTCGAGTGCTGACGTACGCACATGCACAGGACCGAACGCGCCGTCCTCGCGGTGAATGGCTTTGCGGCGGATGGGAACATGTTCGTGAAAAAGGTCAAGCAGCGGCTTGAGGTATGTTTGCATTCTATGCTCTGCACCACACTCGCTCACCGATTCCTAGTGGTATCGGCATGCTCATGCAAAGGAAATGCCCCTGCGCGCCATCGCAAGGCTCATCCAAACCATGCTGTATGCGCAGCGCTTTTTCCCCTACTATGTGTACAACATCCTCGGCGGTATCGAGGAAGACGGTGATTCATGCTATTCACTCGGTGTCTCACTTCAGCTAAGCGCCCAATGTCTCATAGGTTCAGGAGCAGTTTATTCCTTTGACCCGGTTGGCTCATACGAGCGTGAAGCGTGTCGGGCCGCTGGCGCAGCACAATCGCTAGTCCAGCCTTTCCTCGATAATCAGGTACGTCTCACAACGCCTCCTTGGCCATGGTGTCTTCTTTCTATTGCACGCGGCCCTCTCACACCCTTCACGTAGATCTATTTCAAGAACCAAACACCGGCGGCCGGTAGTTCGCACCCCACGCATCTACCACTCAACGACGTCCTGTCCATCGTCATTGACTCGTTTACCAGCGCAACGGAGCGCCATATTGAGGTACTTGGTTTTATTACAGGCATGTGTTACGCGGCTGATCATCGCTATGGAGGTGGGTGATGGGCTCGAAATATACGTCGTCCTCGCCAAAGGGCGCAGCACGGAAGATCTTGCAAGTATAAGAGGCCTCCAAGAGCTGTCTGCGAAAGATGAGGGCGACCGAATGTTCATCATCCGGAGAGACCTCAAGAAGGATTAGCGTGCTTGTAGCCATAGACGGCCACTTGTCTCTGTATGTACTCGATGGACAGCCCTGGCTTGCGCTTAGTCTTAACCTTGTCTTGCTCAACGTACATCTTCGTAGATCGCAGTATGTACTTCACCTCACCGGTCGTCCTAGCCCCGCCGTTGCGGGAAATGTATTACTACTGAAGGACGGGGATTTAATGAAAGGATGCATAGGACGAAGAATAGAGCTGCCGTAACCCCAATTCTCTGACCTGCTGCTGGGAATCGAGATGCTATATACGATTGACAAATGTGAGCAAAGAAGCCTGGCGCACGCGAGTCGACCGATTATGACCGTGACAGCCGTCACTGAACAACATGGTAAGTTTATATGGAGTTTCTTTGCCCGCAACATGCGCGTGCACTCACCCCGCCTCGTGGGGCGTGAGCGCGCGCTCGGGTTTGTATCGACAGGATCACTCCATACGAGCGAAGCCTTCGAGACGAGCTCGTGCGCCATGGACCCATGATGGTCCGAACACACCCTCGGCGATTGCCATCCGCAGACCACTCGCAGCCCATTGACCGTCGGTCACGGCGCAATGGTCGACTGCACGAGGGGCAGGCTGGAGCGGGCACGCGGGAGGATTCTGCAGCGAGACGCTTGCAGCTTATGGAGCCGGGCGCAGCACACGTCCGCTGAGCAATCCGCCCGACGGTCGCGCTCCCTGCAGGGTCATCTGCGGACGAAATAGCGCACAGCATGAGTAAATCACACCCATGCAGCGACCACGTACATAAGCTGCTGCTTCCGCCCGTCCCGGCGACTAAGTAGAAGCCTCAGAGGCACCATCGAGGCGCGAAGCACGCTCCTCCTTCTCGCACCCCACATCCGTGCCTGGGCCTGGGGAAGAAACGGTGGCGGCCAGTACGGATAGCAGGCACTGAGTAAGTCGACTAAATCACGGACGAGACCCGTCTGCCAACTTGTTCGGACCGCATCTTGGTCATCTGACAGCGGTAGCCTGTGTCTGTGGATTGTTACCATGCTAGATTGTCACAAGAGTGCTGGGCTTACCGCGGAGGCCGGATACAATGCCTTGGCATATAGCGTGAGTTGGGACTGAGTGGAGCAGAGACCAGGTAATCCACCACCAGACGGGCCTCTTTGCCAGGATTACGACGCGGCGAGATATGACACGACGCGATACGATACGCGAATTTGACGACATTGATTGACAGGTAACGCAAGCCTTCCACGGAACGTCTGCAGCGGGTCCGTGAGGGCTCAGCCACACATGGGCAGGTGCGCTGAGCTTTGTTACGACCGACACACCAATCAGCATAAGCACGGAGCTCAACACCTGGCGCCAGGCATGCATATATGCATACATTTCATCCCAGACGCACGCAAGATCCATCCATGATCCCTCGGGGAATCTGCGCGAGCGCCTTGTAAGGCGGAAGAAGAGATTAGGCCCGGTTGTTCGAGCGCCTAGCACATCTATGGTCAAGCAAAGGCAGATCTTCGGTAGCTGACCTATCACATAGTTGTCTGATAAGATGCTTAGAGCCCAGGCTAGCGCGTTTCGTTGGGAGCGTTGCGAGTGGCGGTAAGCTCGAGAATGGCCTGATAGAAAGTCACAACAAGTGCTGGGATCATCTGCTGTGACAACGCGAGAAGATTTTTGACGAGCATGTGCGTTTCAGACGTCGACTGCCATGGAGCATTTCAACTGTGAGAATATAAATTGGCCCGCTTGATGGTATTTGTGCAGTTGGACGCCATTTTACTTCGGCCAGGAGAGCTGGGAGGGGATAACAACAATGAGCGAGGTCGTTGAGTCTATACTTCCATCCTCGCACGGCAGGTGCCACTCACAATGCATGTTGCCCAAGCCATGAACGTGAGAGTGCAGATTAGTCGCGGTTCCGGACTTTGATAAACACATGCTGGCGTGTCGTACAATGGTCTCAAGTTCTGCGCGTGTCATCGGAGGAAGCACAATGCAGTAGCGAGGGGTAAGTTTATCCCTTGCCAGTAGCTGAGAAGCTGCTCTATAGCCGGAAAGTCGATCACCAGCAGTAAGGTACAATGGGTACCGCACTGTCTGTTGTTGCAGATACATCAACTAAGTCACATGCATCGCTGAACAAGATCAGCTTGTCCACCCACCTAGCCTACAGAGGCATGTGCCGGACGCAAGTCCGTCCATGATAAATTCCTTGTCGTTTTTGGCCTGGGAGTATCCGAGTCCATGGACATATATCCATTCAGCTGTCTAAGTCATCAGAGCAAATCCTAACTGTGAACCAAACTTACGGAGCCGCTGATGTACCGCTTCTAGCGTCGGGGATTTTGTTAAATTGATAGTGAAAAAGGTCCGACGCGACCCACGGAATAAAGAATGGCACATGAAAGTGCGCACGAGGAGGTCGACAGCCCCGGTGCGGACCACTAGAAGCTACAGGGACGTGAGCAGAGTGCGGGGTAGGAATGTGCACCCGTCTGCTTGACGGATGTCAGCAGACCCAAATTCCAAGTGGCTGAATGGGAAGTATAAGTCCATATATGCGCGACTGGAGCGATGAACTGGGAACGACAACCCTTCAATCGCGTGTCTGACCTGTCAAAGAAGTCCTTTAAAGAGCGTGACCTTTCTATAGCGAACATTAAGGAATCACATACACAACGCTGGCTGAATACAAGCGAGGGCATGACCGCCCCGGACCCTAATCATTATCCGATGACGTTACTATGCGCCGAAGGTCGGCAAGAGTTTTTCAAAGGTCCTTCTGATCGTAATACTCAGTGCCACCTGTTGACGAGATGGTAGTAGAAGCTAAATAACCCGGGATAAAGCACAATCAGTCACGCACTCAATGCTGCACGCCTGCATAAAGTCGAGAACGAGTCCACATTTCGATGCGTCTCACCACTATCCGGATGGCTGGCCACTGCGCTTCTTCACCACGCCACTCGCAGAGGATGGCAATTTGGAGTACGAATATAATTGACTCACCTTCGCATACATCCAAACACAAGACATAGATTCAGATTTCAGAGTTAGTGCGATTTCAACAATTTAGAGTTTTCATTTCCAGTCCACCAACTTGGAAAGTGGAAAAAAAGATTTCTTAGTCTATATTATCATATTCAACACACTCTCCACTTACCTCAGTAATTTCACCTCAAAGTTCAAAGCCAATCCGCGAAAATGTCAGACGAGCGAGCTTCCATACCTACCAGATCAGCTTAATAGCTAAAATGTTTAGAGCCCTCTGCGCGTGAAATAAAAACAGTACATTGACCCACATGAAAGCTCCTACCAACTTGAGTACCTGGGGTTGATATGGTACTCAACCTCATGGCATGGAGGGCGGTCTCGTAGCAGGAATGGGGCGTGGGAAATCGCGACATGTCGGTTAGCAGATCATGATATGTATGATAGGCGGCGGCATCTGCCGCGAACGTACAATGTTCGCATAGCCGACGGTGCAATGTTCAACGTTCCGAAATTCGACAATACCATCCTAGTCAGCCATGCACTGAATCCGTGCTCAGCCGTTACAAAAAAAGGCAACGATGATTGAATGGGTCTCTATGCATCAGGTAATGCAGGTACTTACGACTTCGCAGTTAGAATCACTCGGTACGGCGCTCACGGGTAATTAGCAATGTCCCGTTCGATCACAATAAGTACTTCTATGGTATCATTAGAATGTCCGATGTGCGCTCGAGCGGCAAGCGGTAACGAACAAATACAACGCGCAACGGCTGGGTCTCACAGCGACAGCCACAATGTTTTTACCCACAAGCGATTCCCGCATAGACCTCAGAATTGCCAGCCGGCATTCAAAACAAATTCTTATCAACCTGCAGATGCACTTCAGCAGAAATACTGTAGCACTGAAATCCCTTCAGGAATGAGATTCGACCTGCAGACACCGCGCTGCGGTCTGTCAGGTGGGCCAAGACCCGGTCCGTCTTAGAACAAGGGCGTCAGCGGATCCATATAAGTACATACGAGTATTCCACTCGGAATATCATACTGCGCCTACAAACGATGACGAAAGGCATAATGATGAAGCTTACCACAACGAAACAACAGTTGGCATTGAAGACAAGAGAATAACGACCCGGGAACTGCAGCAACACGAGCTCCCCGGGCCGCCTATCTACACGAAAAAAAAATTAGCTACCACGGGGACATCGGTGCCGCACATAGCCAACCGTATGGACCAGATTTCAGTAAAGATATCTCCAGATAGGTCGACCACGATACACGATTGCAATGACGCGGATCGTCGCTCCTCCGATTTTTTGCAAGTCCAGGTCTCATTTCCGGAGAAATTGCGCGAGCGCTACGAAATGACATACAAAGATTGGGTCCGTCCGTATTAGCCTATATATGCATAGGCTGAGGCATATCCTCGGGAGCCGTTGTATTTTCAGCGGTGAAACTGGACAGATCTAGGATAGTGTGTTTCTAAGTTCCGAGGTTCAGACTGAGCGCGAGTCGCAATCTAGTTATCCCGGTTACATTCCATATGAGGATTAGACGAGCGGTAAAGAGGAGGATCATACCTTGTTAGAGATCTTGATCGTTCCGAATATAACTGTGTGCGAATGTCCTCTAGAAAAAGTATCTTAGCTGACTTCCTTGAATCCCTGACGTTCAATTTGTACCTTTGCGATAATATATAGGAACGCATCCCCAGCAACCCTCAAAAACCCCAAGGGAATGCCGTCTTCATAAGCAGTGTCAATTGTTGTGCTTGCACAAGGTCCCGACGTGGTGCCGAGCCTCGGTAGCGGTTCCGCGTCCTGATAAACACATGGTGATAAGTCGCCTTTCAAGCTAACAGTCCACACGGGGGGCGAGAGAAAATCCGCTGGAATCTGAAAAGGCCCGTCGTAGATGCGGTCAGGATCGAAAAGCTGCACTGTAGGTGGTATGGAAGCTAAGAGGATCCGATCTCCGGCGGTGGCTATCGTATGCACGTCGCATTATTGCGATTGTGGCCACTAGTATCCACCGCACCAAGTCCGCTGGTATCTCTTGAATGAATAAAACCTTAACCACGCGCCAGTGCTGTCCGCATGAAGCATGCATGCATGGGTATACATGAAGCAGAACAGGCTACTCCAGACCAGTCAGTCTGGGAGTGTCCACGCTGCGACAGAATTTAACTTGACTCTTGTTGCAAATTTCCACCCCAATAAATGGAAGGTCTTCTCTTCGTGCCGAACTCTCGGAGCCGCCAAGGCTGAATACTGTTTCTGCTAGCGCTGATGGAATCTCCGACAACCCCGAGTCGAGTATAGAAAGGTCGAGAGTAGCAAAATCATGAAAGCGGCGCTTGAAGAAGTTGGCGTTGCACATAGCTGAGGGAGTTGCGGTCCAGATGAAGCCTGCAGACGAGTGTGAGGCGATTATCTGTTGGATTGGGGCGGCCCATCATCACTCACAGTGAGAAAATAGGGTCGTACCGCTAACTAATAGCATTGAGTAGTGGAATGGACCGGAAGTGCTACATCATCTATGATGCCCTCTACAGCTCATACAAGTAAAATCAGAGCACCGGAAGGTGTCACGCCGCTGGTCAAGTGAGTAAACTCCACCTGAACTCGTTGTTGACGTGGGTCTCGTCGCACGCCTAGGAAATTTGGACACGAGCAAGAGTAACGGACCCACGGCATGCGCGCGCAGCGCCTCCGCTGAGAGCGGACGCGAGCCCGGCTTGAGTGATTGAAACTACCAATAATTGAATACATTCAAAGAGGTTTGTTAAGAGCAGAACTTTGTTCAACAATCCTGGGAGGTTACGCAAGATGCAGGCTTTTGTGAGTGAACCTAAGCCGCGAGCATGGTTATACATCGGTGTTAGGCAGTGATTAGCACTGGGGCTTACTACTTACTTGGCGATGGTGATGGCTGTGGTATCTGAGGATTGCATGGACCTGCGCCATTGTTACACTGCTCCCATTGTCAGATATGAGCTGCCGAAGTCCATCAAAGCAGTAATATTCCAAAATTTTGGAGTGAACTAGGCAACGAAGTTGAACTATAGGGGCAGAGAATATATCATTCGTTGCCAGGTATACACTCGCAGTTGTGTAGTACTGGTGCTGGGACTCACTTCTAGGATCACGGTTGGGAAGACGAACGGTCCCAGTTTCCTCATATGTGCTCAAAGCTAGATAGGCGCATCCAAGGCGAATGCGCGAAGGAGCCGACTGAAGTCTAGAGTCTGGAGTTTGATAAGCGAAGCGATTCATCCATTAGTCTCAAGATTCCAGGGCAATCCAAGTCTCAAGGCATACATGTTGTTGGAACTTGGCGACTCTCAGAGGCCCGTTCAGTAGCGCTGGCGGGGTGGCGTCACCTACCAGATCTTGACACTTCGCGCGTGTTGTTACAGCCATAAAAGGATCAACACACGCGAACGTACAACGTACAGGACTTCGTCTTAGTCTGGCATCTATTATACGACCGTATGCAACCCTACCGTCCACATCAAAATCTGTCATGTCCAAATCAAAAGAGCGTACGGGGTAGGGAGACGATCGACGGGTATCATAAGGTCGAGGATGTATCCGCCCCGCACGCAGGCAAAGCGGGAAGAGGAAGATAGTGCGTAAGGTCCATCGATGAATGTGGAAAGTGGAATAAAATGCAAGCGTAACGCATGACAACAGCGGAAATCAAAGGAAATGGGGAAGATCAGTAGGACGATGAGGGCGCTATATCGTCTATTCTGTCATCGAAATCCGCTACATTTCGAGGACAGTCAATTATAGGGCAAACGACGCCATGCCTGCAGCGACCACGGCAGTGGTGAGTCCAGCAATACTGGAAAAACTCCATTCCAGTGTTCGCGTGCCTGCGCTGACCGCGAGATCCGAGCTCGCGGTTTTAGTGACGTTGAAAAGATTCTGCGTGGGAAGCATGTCGGGCGATGTGGTGACAAGGTTTTGCTGTGCAAGAGGCGTGCCGTCATACTGGTCCAAAATGAGCTGGTACCCAAGTACGGGATCTTGGAAAATGGTCCACGCCGTGTAGTATTCGGTGTCGTTGTACGTTTCAATGAACTTGGATACCGCTGCGCAAGCGTCTTGGATCTGCTGAAATCCGTCACCGAAAGGAGACATAATGATGGAACCGTTGGGCATTAACTGGTATGTTCCATGACACCAGTTCATGACACCCGTTATGCACAGTGGATGTGAGCCTGAGATAAGCGCGCCATTAGAAAAAGGACATATGCTCCATTTGACTTGACTGACCATTGCTCGTATACCGGTATCGCGCAATTTCATAGAATCCATCCTCCGTACTGCACAAGCACAAGAATGTTTGCTTGGTGATTGTCAACTACTAAGCCCGATACTGATCACTTACAATGAATACGATATCCCAGTCGTATTCGGATATGTGAATGTTCGATCTGCGGGGTTTGCAAAGCCCTAACGCATTTTCACGCACAGTAAGTGACCGTAAGATGGTCTAGGGCCAAGCTGACGACGTACGGGTCCCGTTTTCACACCACCACTACCTGAGCTCCATGTGCCATATATCGTGGTCGCATTGTGTATGGGTGTGTACACAATGTCTTGGGCGAGTGCAGCGAGAGAGAAGAGAAGAGAGGTAGCGATGTGTTTAAACATGGTGATCATTCAAGCAGACGGCGGGGAGCGCAGGCTGAGGCTGACGGAGGGAGATGGTAAGGAACGTGTTTGCTTTTGTTGACTTGGTGGCGACAGCATGACACAAGGGGAGACCTGCAAGTTGCTACGGCGTGGGCACAGGCTCAAAATAACATTATGATTGGTAATTTCTCAATAGTCGTTGCTAAGCACTACATACTATGTTATCGCTACCACCCTTACTTATTGTCAACTTATTGAAATGAATATATTATATGTACACCCTGCTGAGTTTTATTTTTGAATATGGCCGCCCGCACAATCTCTACCTCGAAACCTCGACGAACGTTTCAAGCTCAAAAAACATGACATATGCAAGTTTCTTGGATTCCGATTGTAGGAATAGTACTTGCAAAGAGTTTATACAGCGAAGATCCACATCGACGATAAGATAATATGCCAAAAGCTCTTATCTCAAGCTTATCTGAAGACCATTGGCTTCGACCGCGCTAGGCTCCGAGTCCCAACTGCACCGCAGGACTATCTCTCTCGTCGTCAAGGTCCTGAACCGTGCTACTGGTAAAATGGGTGTAGCAGAAAAAGGTAAGTCGATCCAGCAGCCACGGCTAGCCAAATCTTTTGCTTACCTAGACTCGGCAGAGATATTGCCTCTAAATAGCGTTAGCGTACGCGCTACTGCGACTGAACACCACCGTCGCAAGGCCGCTTTTAGCTTCCTGAAATTTTTCTGCACACGACTTTTACCTGCTTACCTGTTCGTGTATTATGCTTTTGGCTACTCTGCCAAGTATATTCTCTGTCGAGTGTCTTATCTCCATCATCCCCGGCGTTACTGTACCTGCGACAACATTTGTGATACAGGAGTTATAACCACACTTCCGACACACTACACGCTCCCATCGGGTGACCAGATTCCTGCCGTTGCACTCGGTACAGTGAATCGATTTCTTCCAATACCCATCTCCTGTTGAAGTAGTTGATCAGGTGTTTGGCAGGCCAGCAAAGGAGAGGTAGGCCAGGCGGTGGAGGCTGCACTCAAGAGCGGTTATAAACATATCGATGGTGCATGGAGATATGCGGTAAGCACTACGATTCATATATCACTTCCCCCTCGTTCGTGACTGAGTCTCGCCATCACAGAACGAGGCTGAAGTAGGGCAGGCAATAAAAAACAGCGGAGTCCCCCGAGAGGAACTTTGGCTTACATCTAAGGTAATCAAGTTTGTGCCGGTGGTTCGTTTAAAGGCGTTCTAAACTTTTCCTCAAGCTTTGGAATAGCTTCCATGCTCCAGAGGACGTCGAATCCGCTCTAGACGACACCCTCAATAACCTCGGCACGGATTATCTTGATTTGTATATCATTCATTGGTGAGTCTGACTCTTTCCGTGCGGCACTGTATCTTATACACATCGCGAAGGCCGATCGCCTTCAAGAAGGACAGTACAGAGTTGGACGAGGCCCTTACCGCAGACCCATATCCGACGTGGAAGAAGCTGGAGGAGATGGTAGACAAAGGCAAGGTTCGCAACATCGGTATCAGCAAGTAAGATCTCGCGCATACATGTACATTCTACCCCACTCACGACAACTTTGTAGCTTCAACATTCCGCGGTCAGTTGGCGTGTATTTCTACAAAATGACGGAGAGCTAACTGTTGTATTTCACGTTCAGGGTGAAGAACCTCACCGCAAACCCGCTTAAGTATCAGCCTGCAGTCAATCAGGTGGAGCTGAACTACTGGAACCCCCAGCCCGAGTTGCTTGAGTGGTCCAAGGAGCACGGCATTCTTCTCGAAGCATACTCTCCGCTCGGGAGCAACACGCAGGTGAAGGACACACTCGCCATTCCAGAGGTGCGCGAGATCGCGCGGGAGTTGGGGATCACACCTGCACAGGTGATAATTTCCTGGCACGTCCAGCGCGGAGTGAGTGTCGAGTCTTCCTCCCATCTTAATCCGCTATTCGCTAATGTCCGTACCTACGACAGACGGTTGTATTGCCCAAGAGTGTTACACCCTCCCGTGTTGAGGAGAACTATCACGGTGGGTAATTCGATGTGCGCGAAGCTCCAGGAGCTGATCAGCATTTTGTTAGTGTACCCGCTTCCGGACAACCTGTTTCGTATCTTGGAGAAGAAAGCGACAGCACACCCGCCTCAGCGCGTGGTGAACCCGTCTAAGGCCTACAACCTCTCGTTTGATATTTTCGATGACTATCCGTACTAATAGATCCCCAGTGGTCCTGATGCTGAATTGTCCTGAAGCTGTTGAGGTTGGGGCTGAGCACAATTTGGGGATAGGTAGGCTTCTTGTGTATAACGGAGTGCTTTGGGCATGGTGGGATGTGCTGAGCCTGAGATTGTCTTCCGTGTACTACTGTCGTTGTGTATACAATTGGCGTATGCGTATACGAATTGGAACCTCTTGGTTGTAGTTCGTCAGAGTTTGTTACGTGGATTCAAGTAGGCGGTGCGTGACAGCGATTTGCGTCACTTTGTTGACTGGTCCTTTTCACTGACGTTTTGCAGCTGATGCTGCAATCGCCATGGGTTCTCTTTTGACAGCGCAGTGCCGGAATGGCTCGGTACATCATAGAAGCATCTTGCAGCTCATACAAGGAATAGGAATTTGGTAGCTGGAAACGGCCGCCTAGACGATACCATTGTACTCGAGCCGCTGAAGTATTTCAATTCGTAACGCAAACATTGCAGTCGGACTGCACATTGTCATCGAACTGTGAGTACCCAAATGCCGTCGCCTCCACGTCTGACGCCCAAAAATCGGTGCACCACACGATTTCTACGCTCTGTAACCGTCGCACAGCCCCGAGGATCCATGTACGGCGATGAACGCCCGGAAGTGTTAGTGGCACAACTCCTCATGAGACTGTCAACTTCTGCCCAGCGATCTTGTTGGGTAGTTTATCTCGCACGGCCCGTCGGATAAATTTCTTGGTGGCCGCAAACCCGGTGTCGCCATCTGAGTGCCGCCACGAAGTTCGCAAGCCTAGCGTCGTTTACAGCTGTACTTGGGACCCCAGGTGCGGTTCCGCTGGGTATGAGTCATGACTACTTATACTGCTGAATGGGTTCTACTGGATGTATATCGTGCATCACGCGGGACTTGGTCGTGGAATTCACTGGATCCACAGGGACCCATTTAGCACCTAATTAAGTCTTTGTTTCTCTGTCACGTCGGGCCCGGTTAGTAATAGCCGACTTTTGTAATCATGAGGTCCGGCACTGCGCGCCTTGAATATACCTTGCAGCTCGGAGCATCCTTTCATTGTCGGCTATTTCGAGTTGCGTTCCTCTTGATGTGTTGCGCCCAGTGTTGTATAAGCATACATCTAACGATAGGGCCGTTACATTATGGTCGAGTTCCGCGTTTCCGAAGGCCTCTGTTACTTGTTACGGACCTCGCCCCGTGTCTTCGTGGGTCAGCGCTTACTGTAGTTGTAGCCTCTAGGACTCGCGCGACCTGCTCTTTCCCTCGTCGAGCTAACGCCAGTTACGGTTCCCCTTCTCTGTATCTTTATTTATTCGATTCGATTTGCCTTTGTTCTCGATACGGGCCGTCACAATACATGACTGAGTGTCGTTGGCATGGCTACCGGGCAGTGGAATTTTGCCTTTGGGAAGCAACTGCACCGCACTGAAATTATTAATAACGTCCTTGATATCGCCTCCGAGAGTTTTCAGCGCTCTCCGATAAACATGAATCCACTGAGGGATTCTGCGCGATGGTGTTTCTACTAGATTAGGACCACGTGACCGCGTCGATCGAGTCAAGGTGATGAAATTCTCTTCTCTGCGAGAGGTGGGCTTTTTCTGTATTCAAGTGGTCCTTTCATCCTTTCGGCGAGACCCTTGTACAGCATACAGATCCAGCGTACATTTATAGTTTTACCGCAACCGCAACGCTCGCCAAACTTGCGCCGAACTATAATAATCAGCGGCTGTCTTGATCTCGGATCAGACAACAGTGCTTGCCGTCTGGCTCACTCAAACAGTCCCTTGCTTATCACCCCACAAAAGCACACAGGATGAGTGCGTTTCTTGTGTGTTTCTTATGCCACGCGCTGAGATGCATACAGACGCTGAATCTCTCGACGGCCGTCTTTTGTTCGCAATTCCGAAGAAAGGTGCAGTCTATCACAGCTTTCGTGGGCAGGAGTGTCTAATGCTGTTGCAGGGCGGCTTCACGAAAAGTGTCTAGAGCTCCTGGCAGGTGAATGCGTTCAAGAGACGGCTATGCGCGCGAAAGGCTGACATCGCTCCAGGTGCCGACATACAATTTCGGAGACACCACAGACTAGACGTTTGCCTGGTGAAGAACCACCCCATTGCACTGTGTGTATTTTGTCCGATTTCATGACATTCGCTGATCGGCAACAGGGTGTTCCTCCCCGCCTCAGATATCCCATCATTCGTCGGCAAGGGAAATGTTGACCTGGGCATCACCGGCCAGGACGTGATCCTTGAAGCGCGAATGCAAGAGCACATCACGGAGGTCCTGAAGTTGAACTTTGGGAAGTGCGCACTCCAGGTGCAGGTCCCCGAGGCTGGTCCTATCAAGACCGTCGAGGAGCTTGCTGGAAAGCGAGTCGTCACCAGCTTCGAAGTGCTTTCTGGAGAATATTTCAACAAGATCGATGAGCAGCTGAACATTAGCGGAGGGCAAAAGACAAAAATTGAGTATGTTGGAGGCAGTGTGGAGGCCGCATGTGCCTTGGGGCTTGCGGACGGGATTGGTGCGTTGTCTGAACTCCAGTGTCCGCTCAATTCTGACTCGCTCGTATAGTCGACCTCGTAGGTACGTACTTGATTGCATGCCATTTTGCATGTCTGCTGATTCTCTTTGCAGAGTCCGGAGATACAATGCGTGCAGCAGGCTTACACGCCATTGCGACCCTTCTTCAATCAGAGGCTGTCCTCATCAAATCCAGTATCCCCAAGCACGTCACATTAGAGCCGCTCATCCAGCTCATTACAAGCCGCATTGCGGGTGTCATTGCGGCAGGGAAATACGTTGTCTGCGAATATAATATCCCCCGTGCAAGATTGCACGATGCGACTAGCATCACCCCCGGACGACGTGCGCCCACAATCAGTCCCCTAGAAGACGAGGCGTGGGTTGCAGTCAGTAGTATGGTAGAGAAGAATAGAATTGCGGACGCCATGGACGACCTCGTAAAGATCGGCGCGGAAGATATACTGATATTTAACCTAGACAACTGTCGAGTGTAGATCGCTTATTATTGTATTTATTCTGTACTATTGGTGTATGAATATATGCACTACTAGTCTGCGTTATTGCACGCAATACCTTTACCTCGACCGAATACATAGGGTACCGCGTCCTCGTTCTTTGTCAACTAACTAATTGAAGTAGCACGGTCTCCCGCAAATGTAAGTGCACGGAACTTCTGGTTCACTATGGTGTGCGAAGAGTTGAGTGCTGCTGTTCGCACGGCTTGATCAGGAGACTCAGAGCTTCTTCAGATGTATCTGTAGGTCAATTTGCCTTACGCGAGATCAACTTGCAAATCGAATCAACTATGGGTCCTCGGACTTACTTAACATTATCATTTTTGCCATAGAACAACTCAAAATGGTCGCGAGGAAGTGAAACGGCCCCACAGCAATAGAGGTTTTCAATGATTAGAGACTGATGAGTTTTGGGCTGTTCACCGATGGCAGATGGCATAGTTGATATAATTCGGAAAGGGACTACGAGATATTGTTGCTGACGGTGAGGGCAGTGGAGAGGAGACGGGTATTGATACGGTTTGAGTCCCCAAACCTCGTGTCCTGGATATTAGCTGCAACCTAGTTCCATTTTCCATTCTAGCGCGGCAAGCAACACATGAGCGAAGTGGCCAGGACATCGAAACCGCCAATCCACGTTACTCCCGACTATGCAGGGTTATCGATCCATTAGCAGGGGAGATGACTTGTTGATGGATTGTGCTCACCTTCGTGATAATCTTGGCCTCGTTGCAAGGAACGAAAATGAACCCCGTGTGAAAAAAATAGCAGTGATGTCAAGAATTCGAATCATCGCCGGAATACACTTTCTATACAAAAATATGCTGAGTAGAGTTCCTGCACGCGGTCCACCTTTGGGTGTTACAGCCTGTTGACAGCGATCAATCTCATCAACACGGCGCAGAGATATCTTACTTCCTCTCCGCTCCTCTCATTACAGGAAGTAATTTGAACATCAGAGCCGCAAAGCCAATCCAGATCATATGCATCTAATAGAAGTACTCACTGTAGTGCATGTCTCTTTTCCATAATGGCAAACTAGGATGTCGCCAGAGCAAGGACGGGCGCCTCTCCATAGGATCCCCTTCCAACATGGAGTGATGTCGTCGGCTCCTCTTATATTAAGCGTATAGTGGCGGCAGCTGAAGCAGCAAACTTCACTAGCAGGCATTTAGCCCATCTACAACATCCGATTAAGGGAATGACTGGGTTTTGGATGTCATTCATTTGTGACAAGATTCTGCAAGCTGTTGATGTAACATAATAAGCTCCAATGGCTTCTGCCATGGGGGCATAATCGAATGAAAACATACGATCGGACATTCGGATGCAGAATGTATTTGCCCACGTATGGGAATCGCCGGACGCGAAGGCTCGAAAACCGGGAGAATAGTACAAGTCGCTCAAAATCAACGTACCTTGGAATAATCTAGCGATGGCTCGACATTATGCAAACGGATAGGTGCACGATGGAAAGTGCATTGTACGATGTTCTACCGGTACACCAAGTGGGGAAGCCCCAATACGAGCAGGATGGATATCCAAAGTCCGCCTGTGCGCTCTTCGACGACTCCAGCTAAGATGCAGCCTGACCCCAACTGCAGAATACAACGCGATGTTATAATCCGACCTTCCACTCGCGGACTATTGCAAGAGGAAGTGGCAGCGCGCACGCACATACTAGGAAGTGCACCAGTAACAATAGCTGATCCACTAGATTGGACACCGTAAATGTGGACCTATTCCAGCTTCTCTAGTGCTTCCAGCCTTGATAGGACAACTTCTTTGCTGGTTTCCTCAATCTCTCCGGCGAGGAAGACTTCGTCAAGGATAGCATATACCTAGTGTGACGTGAGCAATGTTATGATACAGTTTACATCTGCGTGCTCAAAATACCTTGTAGAAGTTGAAAACAAGATCAAGCTCGCAGACGTTATCGAAGAACGAGTCTACAGGCATGAGTTTACACAACAAAGGTAGGGTATGACGACAGACGAACCTAGCACTTCGACAAACAGATGAATAGCTTCGAGATACGCAAGTTCGTTGTCATCCGCATCCACACACACGCAGAAGAATAACCCCGCATAACGTCGGTATACAAGTTTGTGGTTCCTGAACTTGATAATCGCATCTTTAGAGCTGACGACTGTCTTTAGCAGCCGAATGGGGCGCACCTCAACAAAATTCGACTGATACTTCTGGTCGCGCGGCGCGACTAGTCGATGAACCTCTCCTCTCAGCCGAACCTGCCGTTTCATTAGCACAAAACGCAGCCATGGCGTTAGGGTAAGCTCACCTTCTCGTCATCGTCATACGGAACATACCACTTAGACAATCTAGTCTTTCCTTGTCGGTTCTGGAAGATATTAAATGCATATTTGAGACGTTTGTTTTGTTTTTGACTGACCTGGACAAGAATAAATCTGATCATGGCGGTCGAACGGCATACAAGCCCTCAGACAAGCTGCTGCAAATGAAGACGCCGGGGGATAGTATGGCGCCTAAGTATTACGCACTTACTATTTAGAGTATCCACGTGATCTCCGTGACTTGGATCTAAGATCTTCGACCCGAGCGGACCTCATGCAGGACTCGAAATCTCCCAGAACCTCCAACCTGTCTTAGGACCACACCCTCTTCGGCTTCTACAAACACTTCTCCGAGCGTGCATATTACTGAAAATATGGACGCTCGTCTCCGCCGCGTGAACAAAGAAATTGCAGGTGCGTAGACCCAGACAAATGGCCACGCAGACCAGATTCATGTAAAATACAGACTGCAAGAACGACAAATCGTCCAGTGTCAATATTGAGCTCGTGGACAATTCGCCGTTTCATCTGATAGGTGAATTCAAGGGTCCGGAAGGAACACCCTATGAGGGTGGTCACTTTCAAGTGGTACGTGGACCGTCTGTTCGCTGATCAGCCACTTTTAATGCAGCCACTGGTCAGGATATCATAATCCCCGATTCATATCCTTTCCAGCCCGTGAAGATGAAGTTTATCACGAAAATCTACCATCCGAATGTTTCATCGGCATCCGGCGCGATCTGTCTCGACATCCTGAAGGACGCATGGAGTCCCGTCCTCACGCTCAAATCTACACTCATCTCGCTGCAATCCCTCCTTTGCTCACCAGAACCGCGAGACCCGCAGGACGCAGAGGTGGCAAAACATTATATGACAAGCAAGAGCAGCTTCGAGGAGACAGCGCGATACTGGACTTATGAACACGCAGGTGGACCATTACCAGAGAATATGAAGGGGAAGGCGGGTACCGTGCGAGACCCAATCGCCCTGGCGGGACTGAATAAGGCCCATGTTGAGCAATTTGCAGACTTGGGCTTTGAAAAGAGCAAGGTTGTAAGTAAATTCCCGTATCCCGGCGCATCCTCACGACTGGACCCACTCTCTGCAGATCGATGTGTTAAGACGGCTCAATTACCGCGGCGCAAATGTGGCACAGATTGGGGACGATAGAGTGGTAGAAGAGCTATTGAAGTCATGATGTACATACGGATAAGGCGGACTTTTCTTTTGCAATCGCTTTCTCTTGGGCAGAATTCCTATTTCGAGGCTGGTCTTACATGTTCCACTCGATCTTCTCATGCGTTGAAAAGCATTCTCATCAAGTTGAATCTTGAAGTACTCACCATTCCAGGAGACCAAATCACCATTTCCCCAAGACTCTGAACAGTCATCGCATAATACCCAATGTCGAAGTCCAATTTGAATCACAACCTACAGTCGTATAGTAAGATACCTCATCAGACCCGTATATTCAAATTCATCGTCCACCCGTCAACGCTCAGACATTTGGGCCAGGTAATCGGATAACTGAGAAGAAAATGAGCATTAAAGCACGAGTAACCAACGACAGAATGTACCTTGAGTGCGCCAGTTCTAATACTCTCCCCCACATTCTGTACATCCGGGTTAGCGAGCACCCGCGAGATCGCGTCCTTCGCAGCGTTCTCCAAACCGGACAAAGTACCATCGCCTAGCATCCCTCCCTCAGACGGACCGATGCCCATTTCCTCCTCTTCTTCACGCCCGAAGTACTGATTTGACGATATAGACTGTGCACCCTGGAAAGACTGCAGCCGCGTCTGCGCCTCGTTGACTGCAGCGGGATCATATGCATTCCGCCCAAAGTACATATCCGACGAGATCGCCTTCTGCTTCCCGAACTTCTCGCGCGCAAATGTCGGAGCATCTGCTTCCACGGCACTACAAATCGACAAGAGCAAGGTTATCAGCATAGTAGCCATAATGCGGTCCACGCGACGACGTACGGCTTTGATGTGCTCGCAGCAGGCACAGCGCCAAATCCGAGTCGCTTCATACCCATGCCCAGCCGCTCCATGTCCTGGGCATTTCCCTTTGGCCCAGCGCTCACCGGGGTGTTGGGGACGACCTTCGCGCTCATGATTGGCCTCGCACTCATCGGAGTCGTAGCCTCCACCTCCTTTGCTTTCGCCTCCTCTTCCGCTTTCTCCCGTTCCCGGTCATATCCCAGCTGTCTCACTCGCTCAGCCTCTTCCGCTGCACGCCGCTCCGCCTCAGCAAAGTCCAGGGGCGCTGCAGCCTTCTTTGCACCCAGACCGCCGAGCTTGGACTTCTTTGGAGCAGAGCCCGCAGAGGCAGTGGCGGTGATGCTACTCGACGAGGAGGTCAGGCGAGAAGCGCCAAGCTTGGAGGCAGGTCGTGCGCCGCCGTTAGAAGAAGTGGAGCGGAAAGACGACGAGCTAGCCGTACGCGGTGTTGTAGGCGGGCTGTCACTGGATGCGGACGTACTGAGGGAGCGACCCAGCACGGGTGGTGCCGGTTTCGACGAGATAAAAGCAGGCGACTTGGGCGTCGCGGGCTTGTTCCACGACGAGAAAAAGTCATCGTCATCCCCGCCTTGCGAACCCGGGGAGAGGGTTAGGTCGCCCATTCCCTCGACGACCACCCGGGTGGGGAATCTGGTAACCGGTGAGAAAATCATGTGGATGGTACGTTCCAGCACTCACTTTACAGCATCCTCTTTGACACGTTTGGCGAGCTCTTCTTTGTACAACTCTGCAACTCGGCTTGAATACTTCTTCTTGGTGTCTGGATCTCCCAGTACGATGGATCCTCCGTGTTTCGTGAAAAACTCTCTGGCGGAAGTGTTTCCCCCGACCTTCATTGTCCTGAGTTGATTCAGCTGCCAGCTGTCGAGGTTTGTCGATCTGTCAAAATCGTGAATTAGCATCGCAAGATGAGTGTATCACTAAAGCAGTGCAGTCATGATCGCAGCATGGCACGAAAACTTCGAGGTGCATTTTCGTATGCAATGACTACGCCAGCAGTGAGACGAGTCACACTGTCTGACCTTTCAATAACCCGACAATTGTCATTTACGGAAACGCCACCGTCGGTTGAATTAAGGATAACAAACACGCCATGCGGATCGAAGCGTGATACTTACCGAACAAAGCTGATGTGCACTCCCATATTACGATGTACACTTGAGCATTCTAGACAGATATAGATGCCATAAGTCACGCTGGACCATGTTGGATTGCGGGCTTGACAATCAAAACACATCTACACGACCTCAGTCCGGACACGCGGGCGATGTGGGAGCAACACACCTTGTTTCCCTTTTGCGCCTTCAGCACCTTGAACACCTGCTCAGTTTCTGCCTTGGTGGGATCCGCCATCGTCTCCGACGTCTTTCTCTAATTTGCGAATAGGTAGGGGGTGGTTGTGACTCAGTTGATGATAGTTGGGTGTCAGCAAACGCAGGCGCGTGGACGGCGGCAGTTGGTCGGGCGTCAAGCAACTCGCCAAAGTTTGCGCTCGAGACTGCCATGGAACAGACTGGCACAGGTTTCTTTCCACTTTGTCCTGCCATGCTTCGTCCTCAAGCAAAAACTTGGAAGCTTTCGCAAGGCATGATGATGGATTTCTCAACTTTAGAATATTCATACGACTCGAGGTCCAGTGTAGTGAGGAAGTCATCGCAATGTGTGGATCGCTAAACAAGTACGTGATTTCAAACTTTGAAGCGACTTCCTGTGGTCTAAAAATTGGACGAGTGATATCAAATATATCACTATTCAAGATTGCAGTACCTTGTTAAGAAGCTATCGACGTACACTCGCAGTTCGTACGGACTCTGGAAGTGCTAACACAGGTCATTTAGGCCTGGTGGATACTCCATCATCTAGCTGTTGTAATATAATCAGTTTCCCGAGTACAGGTGCCCAACGACCTCTTTTATAACCGGTATGTCTACCTCCATCTCCGCTAGATTACCTTCCAGCCCAGCAAGTGTCAACGTCCTATCTCTCTCCTGCTGCCTATTATCCCAATCCGCGATATCAGCCGCATAATAACTGTTCGAATATTCCTCCTCCTCCTCCTCATCGTCATCGTCCGTCGAGCCTGGCCACGGGTACCCGTTGTCAGCTGCGCGCTCTTTGTGAATGTATGCGATCTCGTCGAGCCAAGCCCGTGAAGAGGTCCAGTCGACTGGGTCGTCGGGATGGAGAGCCTTGATGTGCACGAGAAGAGGGTTAGTGTCGTCGTTCTCTTCAATGTTTTCGAGAATACTGCGGTCTTCCGTGCTGAGATGGTCCTTTTTGGAAGCAGCGAACGAATCTTGGAGTGTGGACAGGACGTCCTCCTGAACTCTGTACTTCACATCTCCCTGGTGGGACAGTAAAGATGAGCATTTTGACGATCAGATAACATTGCGAAAAGTCAGACCTCGACAGCACCAACTATGCACGATATGGCCGCAGGATATACATAGCAGTGCATATCCTGACTCGAAGACCACGGAACGACGCCTTTAATGCTCTCAGTTTTAATTGAAACTGAGGAGTCTCCACCTAAGGCCGCATTGCGCACGAGAGCGGCTAGCTTGATGCTCTGATGGCCATCATCGTCTGCGGCGGCTTCTAGAACGATAGCGGGTCGCCACTTGCAGTGCGCTGTCTTCTGGTGACATTCCTCGATACCCCAGAGCTCGTCCTTGGGCACAATTCCAAGTATTGTGGGCCCAGCTAATAAGCGGGCTGAAACTAGCTGACCGGGGATGAGCTGTGGGGTGGAAGTCGTGGTCCTCTCGAATTTTCTATCAGGAACTGAACGACTAGTGAGACACGTTCGAAGTGGATGCGAGAGCGCGTACATTTAGCTAGAACAGCCGCGGGTACAGACGGGGCAGGGGACCAATCGAATGACTTGTCGGCGTCGCTGAATCCGCACGAGTGATACAACTCATCAAGCTGTCTCATGTATCGAGCATAATCCGGCATCTGTTCAAATCCCATTGCTCTCGAATCGTCCAAGATTTGTCCAAACACAGACGGGTGTCCAGCTGCCAACTGACTGCCTGTCCAGCTGGATTTAATAATCCGTGTCTGCGCTGTGTCACCTATCAGCGTTCCGGACTCCCCAAATTCCTGCCACGGTAAATTTCCGCGTAAGAGGAATAAGAATACATATGCTAGCGATTCAAGGTCGTCGCGCCAAGAGAGATCTTTCAAAATAAGACATTAGATGGCCGGGTAAACCAAGTAAATGTAACTGACTAAATCCACGATGAGCGTTCAAGCTTGCCCACTTGAGCGTACCAACGATGTGCTTGCGGTCAGCCTCAGGGTCATACCGTTTACGATCCGGCAAAACATTTTGCGGGCATGATATCCCGAAATCGACAAGGATGACTTGACAGGGGTCGCTGAGAGATGTCAATATGTGGTCTCGCTTAATATCTCGATGAAGGATTCCGTGAGAGTGAATATGTTCAAGGGCGGATATCTATGGAGGGGTTCAATTCAAACTGCGGACTACATGACAGCGATGCAGCCATTACCAGTTGTTTCGCGAGCAGGACGACAGTCCTGAGCTGCGTCCCGCTTGGGGTTGGAGATAGCGTCTTGATGCTCTCGCCACCGAGCTCCATAGCGAGGTACTCAAAATGCGGAAACCTGCCGTACGCATGGACCGCTGGGATAGCAGGATGCCCTCTGAGGAGATGCAATATTTGGGCTTCGTACTTCAGAAGGCTTCGCTTTACTCGTGTTGAGACGCGGGATTTTTTGACTGCGACGTGTGTGCCCGTCTTCGTCTCCAGTCCACGCAGCACCATTCCCTACATGGTAAAATCTTGTTTGAGTAAGAATTGTCTCATCAAAGCCATCAAGCGCTCACATAGGTGCCAACACCAAGGACATTGGACAATTGGAGGGAGACCATATAAACTTAGCTGCAAGAACGTAGTGCAATCCCAAGTATTCGACACTGAACGACTCGGACAACAAGGAGCAACGAGGTCGGTGGGGGATTACGCCAAGAGCCAGGTACTGGTCCAGAATATTATATAGTCTCCGGTAAACAGAGCATTCGAGCGCGGATTCGGAGTCGCTCCTGCCATTGGCATGACATGGACTGTATTCTGTAGGTCTGAGCTGAGCCTGAATCGCACTCCTCAAACTTAAAATCGTCGAACGGCTCAGCTCTGATCATGCCTACTCCGATCGAGAGTTGTTAGCGTGACCGTGACGCTTTCCATTTTCCGGATTGTGTATGGCTAATTTATGGTACACATCAAGCTTAGCCTCCCTTAGCCTTCAGGTAGCCCTGAAGAATGACCTTTGGGTGTAATGCGGTCGTCGTCTACATCAACCCCATGGTTCAGTCGGGGCGCGGGGCGTGTACGAAATGCTGATTAAATGGAGAAGCTAATGATGATGGGACTAGGCTAGAAGATAGATACGTTTTGTTCCATGGAGCAATCTATTCTGAACGCCCCCAATATACCTATCCAAGACATGCCCTTCACGAGGGCAATTTCAAGCCTTACAAGAGCCTAGCATTGTCCTTGATGCATCACACCGCGATGGGCTCCTCATCAGATGACTTCTGCAAGCTGAGGCATCCAGCTTCCGTACTTGTGTGCGCATAAGATGGTCATGTCCGATGATTCGTGATCGGCATTAGGCAGGCTCTCCGCTCGGCTCCTGGCAAACCCCAGGTTACAATCAATGACTCGGCTCATTCGATTGCCGCTCCGTCCCTCTCTGCTATATTTCCATGACGGAGACGAGGTCCGACGAACTTCACCAGTAATTCGAATAATGCCACCTAATAGTTACCGATGGTATGAAGCGGTATAAACGCGCTTATAACATTTTACACCACCAACTAGTGAAAGCTGAATCCCTGGTCAGTGACTGACTTAAAGGGAAGAGATGAGGCTGACATGTAATTGCAATTTCATCGCGCTCTGTATACAGATGGGACGGACCTGCGTCTGTGTATGGCTCAGCTTTGAACTGTGCCATTCTTGCACCGCCGCCGAGGTCGGAGGGAAGAGAAGGTAACGCCCGCATGGAATTTCAATCATTGTACTCCGAGGACCGACGGGAGGGGCCTGCGTCTGCTGCATCCGCACAAGGAGCGCAGACGTTACAAAATTTGGGATGTTGTTCACAATCAACGTCATGTTCTATATACCAGTATAGTTTGGCTCTGGGCTGCATCATTGTCGCGGCGCAGACGAGGTCGGAGGGAAGAGAATGCAACGCACACATGTTGATTGAACCGTCGCACTCTGGATACCGACGGAAGGGGACCTGCGCCTCCTGAACGCCGCCCATGGAGCGCAGAGGCAACAAAGTATAGGATGTTCCCTACATCTCAGGCCATACCCTGGAGACATCTGCACAGATCAGATATTGGCTTCTGCAATTCAACCCACGGCAGGCTGTACACACATTCATGCAATAATTTGTTTCAATTATATAGAACCATGGAAGGCAACCAGCCGAGAAGTAGTCGTTGCGTCTAGCAATCCAATTCCATTCGTGCACAGTAATCTGATCTGTTGTCCCTGCTGCATTTCCGGTCTAGATGAGTAACTGTATTGCTCCAGACTTGGCAAGGCCCGGTGACCAATCCCCATTGTCTCGTCAAGAACTACCTGTGATAGTGATAATAATGAGATAACTCGCTCAGGGTATAAAAGAGACAGAGTCCAGTGGCCTAGGTATCAACAATCTCACCATTCGCATATCCATCGAAGAAATGTCTGAAGTTGAGGTCTCCAAACTTGTCGTGGGCGATCTCATCTACGCCTCCATCCATATAGATAGGGCAGATATGGCAAACCCCAAGGCGACCAGTGGGACAGCAAAGAAGTGCGTATCATCCATCAATGTGCAGAAATTCTAGTCCTAACGAATGCTGGGATTTGGCTAGGATCAAGAAGGGTGAACCAGTCGTTCGCCACTGTGTCGTCCTCGAGAAGAACGAGCATTCAGTTGTAGTCACTTACCTCGCCACCTTCGGCGGTTCCAAGAAATTACCGACCACATTGCAGGAGGTCTACTGGTACCCGATCGAACCCGCTGAGAAAGAAGGGAAACATGAACCTCTCCCCGAACTGAATCCCGGTGTAGCACAGTGGGCATCACTGCGTAAGAAGCAGACGGTGACTGGGGATGTCAAGGTATGATGGTTGTATACATGCACTGGATGACGAACGTACTCATTCAAATTACTGTTTAGATGAGTGACATGAGAGTTAGGATGTCTGAAGAATCTGTGCACCTCGTACTGAGCGCAATGCATGCATAGAGGCCAAGGGAAGGAGGTCTGCGAGAAAGGAGAGGCTCTGGCCTACTGTACAATATACATGATATCTGCTTTCCTAGCAGGTTTGACGTCGGAGTTTTTGAGCCATGCGAAACACTTGTTGAGTCGAGTCCGCCAGGTCAACCTGACAACAAGTACAAAATTCGGAAGCGCACGAGATCCGCGAGCATCAAGCCAGCCTATTGCCAGTTCATGTGTATTTCTGGTCTCGTATCTAGACGTGTCGAAGATGCGTCTCGGGCAGCCTTGCGGAGACACCCCTCCTAGTTCAAATTCGAAGAAAGTGAACGGATGCAGTGCATGTTTCCTACGTCCATTGAGTGATGAG